TTGGGAGAAAGCTAGAATGATTTTGGATGTTTTGAAGCTAAATGAGTTAGGGTATTTATAGTTGAAGCTTGACGACTAATATTGTAAATACCTTAAATTACAAGGACTAAATTTACAATTTTACTATTATCAATTTTAAAAAATTAATAGCCCTTTTTCGGTGCTTTTGACTTCATTCGGTGCATTATCTTTGCACTTTCGGTGTATAAATCAAACTTTCAACAAATGTGAGGCACAATCTTCTTCCCATAAAGCATTCTAGTTTTTTAAACCTGAAGTTGACACTCGTTGCTCCTATTTTCGTTACCATCGACTGGTTAATAAAAAGATCTTTAAACTGTTATTTTTTCCCATCCTGTCTTTTTATCAAACTAATCTCAATTAGAATTAAAAAATAGAACATTTTAATTTGTTACTATCAATCATCGAATCAACTTGAAATTGAATTATATTATTTTTTTAGTCAAATAAAATTTTCTTATCGTTAGAATTGATTGACGGTTGTTCTGTTCATGAGAATTGATCGAAATCGAATTGGACAATTTTCATTAATTCTTCTTCTTCTTCTTTTACATTGTTTATTTTTGTTGTCTATTGCATGTTGTTATTGGTGATTATGGGTTTGGGCGATGACCAAATTATATTTGTGATAGTAGCTTGAGGTTGATTTGATTGTGGATGATAACTATAGCTTGCGGTTGTGGTGTTTCGAATCTTAGATGAAATGGTGGCTGTGATTAGTTGGATAATCAGAAAAAAGTATCCAACGATAATAACGTAATAAAAAGAAATTAGTTATTGTTAATTAATTTGAGAAACATAAAAGGTTTTTCTTAGGAAAAATGATTTTAAATAAAAATAAGTAATGAATGTTGGTGATGATAATAAAGAAATTAAAATTTGTTATTGGGAAAGTGAATTTGTCGTCTACCCCAAAGCATTTATTCAGAACTTCGGTCTTATCTGCAATCCGACGGTTCCTTCTTTACCCTTTCCTTGGTCTGTTTACACGTGACAACTGGCAATAAATAAATAAAGCAGAAGAAAAAGCGAGACACGGTAGAACGCTACCGCTTTACGTTTTCCCCTATTCTCACTCGTTTTCTCTCCTTTATATTAACTGCCTAAGCCCCGGCTCACCATCATCCGGTACGCGAGAAAGGTGGGGTGGAGACCGGCGTTGGAAGTGTTTGGAGATGGGCGGATGGGCAAAACGCTGGTATCTTTTTCCACCGTATATGGTATGGGGAACTAATATCTGTTTTGCCTACACCGCCCATTCCAAACATTTCCTCTGCTCCTCTCTGCCCCTTGTTTCTCTCTCTCATAAAAGTACATGTGAAAGAAGATACGGAGATGGAAGGAGAGGGAGAGGGAGAGGGAGAGGGAGAGGGAGAGGGAGAGGGAGAGGGAGAGTGGTGTTGGGAGTAATAGGTATGGGAGGAATGGGCAGTGTTATGTTTCTGACCTTCATAAAAAAGGCAGAATTAATTCTTCCCAACACCTCCTATACCCTTCATTTCCAACCGTTGCTCCCCTTCCCTCCTCCCTTGTTGCTTATGTTTTCCGATGATCTTGGTCTGTGATGGTCTTTCCTTCTCTAGTGTTGTAGGTGGCGGCTGCTTGGTGATGGAACGAACATCTAGGGTTTTCTTTACTAGGACTTGGATTTGGGCTCTAATAATCCTTTTCTTTATCCTTAATGTATAGTTAATGTAAAATATTTTAAGAAGATATGAAAAAAAACACTTACCACGAAATTTTAAACTTGATCTAATGATTTTTTGGTAGTAAACTATCAATTTTAATTTGTTAATATTTGAACTTTTAGTTTCTTCTAAAATTTTTACATAAATTTTGTTTTTTTTTATTTTAGTTTTAGTATCTCTTTAAATTTTAAATTATAAATTTTGAAAATATAAAATTGAGTTTTAAAATAATTAAAAAAATTAGTATTAAAATAAATTAAATTAATCGTTTAAGTATTAAATGAGTTAATTTTGAACGATATATTTTAAAATAAAATAAAAATTAAATGTTAAAATAAAATAAAAATTTAATGTTAGATATAAAATTAATAAAATTAAAAAAGTATCAAATAGATTTAAATTGATAATTTGAATATTAAATATATCCTAATTTTTTTTAAGTGTATCCATTGAATTATGCGTGTTGTGTCAAAGCAGCAGCAGCGAAAACCAGAACCCGAATACCGTTTTGGTAAAATGGTTAATTTATAATTAGGGTGTTCATTCGGTTAATTTGGTGGTCGAATCGATCGAACTATTATTTTTGAATTAATCAAATTTTTTTTCTTTAACCGTTAATCGAATCGAATTTTTTTTCGAAAATATTAATCGAACCGAATAAATTTTGGTTAATTCAGTTAATTTTTGAATTAATCGAAATTTATTAGAATTTTAGAATTTAATATTTTTTTAATTAAAAAATAATTTACAATTAATTTAAATAATATATAATTATAAATAATATCTAATTAATTTGATTCAAATATTTTGTATTTAATTTTGATATTATTTTAATTAATTAATATTGATTTGGGTTTTAAATGGATTTTAAATGGATTGACCTCTTGATATAATTATATTTAAAGGTTAATTCGGTTAATTTAATTAATTCGGTTAATTAACCGATTTCGAACCAAATTAATCGTTAATCGAATTTTAAAAAAATTCTTAATCGTTTTTTGACTGAATTAATTCGGTGATCGATCGAATTAATCGAATTAATTCGATTCGATCGATTAATTTAGTTAAAATCAAATTTTGAACTCCCCTATTTATAACATCGTATTCCGTAGCCCGAAGTGGTGGATCTAAGAAAGATGTATCGAAAGTAGAAAAAGGCATGCAGTAACGAGAAAATTACAGAGGATCAAAAGAGATTTGAAAAATATGCGTCCACAGAAAAAGAATGGACCTAATTGAACAATGATAAAACACCTATGGGGAAAGAGCTCTTTTTGGGACCATAACCGCTTTAATCAGAGGGGTTTCTAAAATGCTTCTCTTTTCCTTGATAAATTTTTTTGAGTTGTATATTAAATAGATTGTTTTAGCTCGATAAAAATTCGAATCGATTAGAGCATTAGCTGAGCTTTAATTGAATTTAACTCGATTAGCTCGTGATTTATATTGTCTCAATTTATAATCCTAGTTCTAGACATACTTGCGTTTTTTAACTAATAATTTCTAATAAATTTTAAAAATAAAATTACAAGTACTTAAAATAATCTATATGTTTAGTAGACCTAGTTATTAAGTTGTTGAAACTATTTTTGAGTTTGATTTTTATAATATTATTTATATTTAAAAGATTTAAAATAATCATCTATTATTTTGAATCAAATATAGTTAAATATAAATAAAATCACTATTTTATAAAAAAAATCACATTTAAATTTGAAATAAATTTTTTTGATGGATTATGCATAAATAAAATTAAAGGACTCTCGAGATGTCAAAAAATTAATGTCTTATTAGAAAACACAGAGGGATGTCAATTAAAAAAGTGAAAATGTTTTCAAAATAATGCATACCTTAAAATAATAAAAACAAAAACAAAAATAAATCACAACAAAAATATAGATGGTGCTATGGACAGGTGGTGGTCGAAGGGTGGTATTGGTGAGCTTATCAGAAATGAGAAATGAGTGATGTTGGGTTCGTTCTCAGAAAAAATGGGATTCAGACCTCCTATTATGATAGGATTCGAGTTTCTCGGTGAATTGAAGGCTTATTTTGGTGTCCGATAGTGCGATGACAGTAGAGTGGATAAAAAATCTAGCTAGCTTCACTCCGATGTTTCTATCCACTATTAAAGAGATTGCAAATATTGTGGTCAATAAAGGGGTTATTGTTGGCGAGAGTAGTTAATTGTGAAGTGAATGAATTTGATAAACTAGGAATTGGTTAAATGATGGAGAATTAATTGGGTTGTTGTTTTTCTATTATTGGTATCGGGAAGATTTGGGAATGGTATATGTTTGTATCTGGTTGATTAATCTAGGAGGTAGTTTTTGTGTAGGGTATTAACATATGCTTGTAGGTAGTGTTGTTTTACTCTGTGTTGAGTGGGTTGCCATCGTTTTTTGGTGGTAGTGTATTCTTTTTGTATTTGGTTCTTATGCAATAAAATTTCTAAGACATTTTTTTCTCTTTCCAATGTCCGTTGAGTCTTTGTTGCTTGACGGATATGAAGGGGGTTTTTAATGAGATCTTTCTTTTTATCAAGAAAAAAAATATATATATATATATATATATATATATATATTAACAAAAAAAACAATGCAAATGGAATAATGATAAAATAATTAATAAACTTTTAGGAATAAGGGGAAAATAATAATGAAATTAAAAATGATAATAATAATAATAATAATAATAAAATATTAAGGGAGAAAAGTGTAAGTGACAAAATAAAATAATAATAATAATAATATATTTTAAAAAGGAAAATAAATGAATAAACGTGTTAGGATTAAATTAAAAGAAAAAAAACCCTATTGCTGACCTTTTATCTCTTTCAGCCCCCGTGTCGCCGCCGCCGCCTAGTTGCCTTTACCCTTTTCTTCATTATCTTTTCTTCGTGTGGCACAAGGTTTCCACTGTTTAGTTGTTGAAAATTGATTGCTGCATTTATCCACTAATTATAGTTAATGACATGGATTAGGTGACAACAAGAGTAGGCGAGTAGCACTCATTCTTAAAGATACTGTAATTATTTTCAACTACTTCTCTTAGATCTTACCATTTATGTAGATTGAGAGCAGAGATTGATATAGAATGAATACAAGATAATATCGGTTTAGAATTGTTTTTTTAACTTATTAATAATATAGATATACTATAGATGTAACTATTCGAACCCGAATATTTTAAAAATAATATTTTTTTTTACCATTGAAACCATTACCGAACAAGACTCTTATAATATAGTTGTTTACATTCAAGAAACAAGATGTGTTTTCACTGACATTGTATCGAAACAAAATGCATTGTCCTTCAAGTCCAAAGATACTTGCAAAGCTTAATTATTAGCTTTTCAGCTAGTTTATATGGTTATATTGGTGAACTAGTAGAGAGTTCTTATGCGCTTCTCTCTGTTGACATTGGTATTAACAGTTGTTTTGGGGAGTCGGATTGAAGCTCTCCTGTACGACCATGTGCAGAAACTGAAACAGGCTTGGGGGGCATTTGTTGGTCATCGAATTTTCCTCGTAGCATTTCCACGACTCCGGTAATGGACGGCCGATCCGAGGCGTTTGTTTGTATGCACCATAACCCGACGACTACTAACATCTTCCGTGCTTGCATTGTCGCATTCTCGAGCTCTACATCATTTACTTGGTCATAAAACCATGAAATCGACTCGGAAACATTCCTTCTTCTACCAGCCATTTCTAACAGCAACATCCCGAAACTATAGACATCGGTTTTGCCGGAAACAGCTCCGTAATCTCTTGAAATCAGTTCCGGTGCCATGTGTTCGGAATCATACTTCTCCGAGTAAAGTTTTGCGAGAAAAAAATCGGTGATTTTGGGGACGAAATTCTGATCCAGAAGGACATTTCGAGGTTTAATATCGAGACGGCCGACGCAGGTGGCACACGCAGTATGTAGGAACTCAATACCTTGTGCAATTCCTAAACCAACTTCATGGAGTTTTCCCCAACTTAATTGCACAGAATCCGAGAAAATGTGCTTGTCCAAAGATCCGTTAGGCATATAATCATAGACGAGAGCACGCTTAGATCCTTGGGAACAAAACCCCACTAATTTGACCACACTGGCGTGCTCAATCTTACCGAGACTCGACACTTGATTGATGAAATTTTCCTCACTAATTTTGGACTCCGCTAGCAATCTAACAGCAACCAAGCAACCTTTTGGTAGCAATTGTCCCTTGTAAACTGAGCCAAACTCTCCTTGCCCTAGTCTATGTTCCAAATTGTTTGTCATGGCAAGTATTTCTGTATAACTGTACCTTTTCGGCGTCGAGATTTTCCGATTGAGTCCGAGCTTTTCTGCGTCGACGACCGTCTTCCGCGTAGTTAAGCATTTGTGGAGAAGGAAAGCAAACACCACCAAGGGAAGGAAGATGAATCTGACGACCAATGCCTTATCTGCAAAGCCATAATATCTAACAGAATTTTAGGTACAGTTTTACTCGAAACAATTGAAAATTTAGCAAAGCAGAAGTGGAAATCATACGAATAATAGAGTTTGAAACAAGATACGATATGATAAACGCTAATTGAACTCCATAATCTTCTTCATATATCGTTTCGCACTTAAAGATTCTTGGATCGTTGTTAGACCTGTAGACGCAGGAATAGCCATATGTGTGGCAATCCCTACACTCGACTGACCATCTCAGATCAAACCCTGATGCAAGCAACTTCAAGGTCGTTTCGTAAGCGTAATTCAATTCATTTTCAGAGCTTGTGGGAACCCTTGAAATGACCCTGCAAGTCCCTGGAATCTCAGTAGCAAGCAAGTTCCTGTTACTGAAATTTACATAAACATGAAATGCGTTCCCACTCAAACAGGGTACTCTGTTAACTTCCAGCTCGGGGATTCTGCCGGAGCAGTTGAAAAAATTCGCTTGCCAGAACGTAATTAATGAGGGGAATCGACCATCTTCGGTGGCTTGTTCCATTGAAAGAGATCTGTATGGAAGAGCGCAGCTTCCATTGGCTAAGTTAGCATCGACAACACGAATCGTACGTTCGTAATAAGAGATTCCTTTAACATAGTACTTCCCTCCTCGAAGGTTCAGGACGGCGGCGTTGTTCTGGCAAGATAGTTGAAAACCAAAGTCGCCACAACCGGCGGGATCTCCCTGGAGACGAAAAGGGTAGCTGATGTTCTTCAAATCTCCGCATGAAGAGGAGCATTGCTGTAGGTTTCTGGCATGGAAACTTGGGATAAAGAGGAGGAAGACGAATACAGGAAACAAAGGTGTGGAGCTCGTGAAAGCTGGTGAAGCTTGCTTTTTCATATCTTTTGAGTACTGGACAATTGTGGATAAGAGTGTAGGAATTGACATCAGTGCTTGGATTTCAAGGATGAATTTTATAGGTAATAATTTGATGCGACTTGGTCAATAAACCGCGTTCCTTTAAGAGCTGCTTTTAATATATCTCAGAAATTTCAACGTCGAAAAGACCAAGGGAGTCGGGGAAGTCGTGGATGGTGAGCAAGAGTGGGGTTAGGGGTGCGTGTACATCCAAAATTTACACAAATACTTGAAAGGAACTTTTTTCCCCAACAGTAAAACCCGAAAAAAATTGGTAAAATAGGATATAAATATTTTTATTTTAAGATTTACGATATTTTTTAAAATATTTATGAAACTCATCATTTTGACGTGATGATTTTTAATAAAATATAATTTATTTATTAAATATTATCACATCAAAATAAAAATTTGACGTCAGACAGAATAGTGATTATCCTGCAAGCGCTTCAACAGATGATTCACAAGAGAAAATTCGCCTAAAAAATTCCAGAGAAAAAAAAATCTCTAGGGTTTAATAAAATATTATCAAATCAAACAATGCCAAAATCAGTCCACAAGTCGGACTGTTATAGCCAAAACTCGTCTTTATTCGAATTTTGTCAAAAATAGTAAAATCCCGAAAATCACTCTAAATTGAAATTCGAAATAAAATAAGCAATCTCCAAAAAATCCGGCCTAAATCGGATTTAAATTGACTTCCTAATTGACAATCGAAATATTACCATAAATAGTAAAAAATATCTAATTCTAGTGATTCGGAGGGAAAAACGGTAGAATTTGAGGTTGAAAAAAAGGCCACATAGAGCGTAGCTCAATGTGGAGAGCGTGCGCGTCGAAAAGCGCTTTCTGGATTGGGGTCTTATGCGCGATTCTGACACATGTATCCAAAGTTATGGCCAAAAGACTGAAACATACTCAAAACGACCCCAATGAGAAACATGTCACAATCAATCCCCGCCTTTGCGCTGATCTACCAATTCATGGTATCTCAGCGCCATCAAGGTGCAATCTGACAGCTCAGCATCATCTGTCTCGGATCCCCCTGCATCAAAATTTTAAATATAAAATATTTTTTTATTAAAATTCATCACCTTAATATTAAATTTAAAGTTATTGTAGCAAATATGGTAGAAATCAAAATAAACTCTCACATCCCCTATTGGACATTTTTTTTGGTTTAGGCGTATTGGACCAAAAAAACCTATTGAAATCATTATTGGGTTTTCTTTTTCATAAATTTAAAACTTAATCTTAATTCTATTTAAATAAAGGGAAAAATTAAAGAAAGGAGAGTATTGAGTACAAAACTTATAATTTTTTTTGATAATGCAGGAACTCTCAAGGTCAGGTTGAAGAATTCGACCCTACAAGACAACCTCCGGAGGGGCTCAAATAACCCACCATTATGTCCCCCTGTTTTTTTCCAGGATTCGCAGCCAGCGCGGTTTGAACCTAAGACATGAGATCAGTTCATAATCCCAAGAGCCCTTGCTTTGCCAACTTATAATTTAAGAAAATATAATGAATGAAGGTCAAATCATTAAATTTTAAGCGTGTGATTAAAACAATTTAGACACCAATTTAAATAAAACGTGTGATTGAAACTATTTAGACACTAATTTAAACAAAATAATAAGATAAGATACTTTAAATATCAATAAACTTTGTTTAAATATATTTTTAAAATTTTTAAATATTATAAAATAATTTTTAAAATTCTTAATCAATTATAAAATAAATTCGTTGTCACCTTGAAGTATATCTTAATCAATATTTAAAATTTTTAAATATACAAAAAAAACTTTTGGAGGTAAACGTTTTTATTAATCCCTTACTCATCCCTAGTTGTTTCAATTGTTAATAAGTTCCCAGTTACAAATAATCGAAATAAAACTCATGATAAAAACACTCAACCAAACACGGCTCGAAATCAAACATGAGGGACCAGAAACTAAGATGGAAAACTACAAGTAGCCTAATCGGTGAATGTTCCAAAAATGTTTTAAACTTGATAATCCCTGAATTCACATTCCCCTTACATGGAAGATTGTACATTTTATTTCCCATAAATAGAACAATTTAATAAGTTGATTAAGATCAGAGTTAGAATAACTCCCTGTGAGAGAAACAACTTTTGAACCACCCCATTTATCATGGTGAATTCATTTATTACTTTGTATACCAATACGCCTTGCAATGTATGGTATAAACCTTTCCAAGCATAAGAACTTCTATCCTTTAAAGTAGTATGCAACATATCTCCATGGGGAAAATATTTAGCACGAAATACTCGAGCCACCAAACTCTCTGGATCCTTGATAAAGCGCCATAATTGTTTGCCTAATAATGCCAAATTGAAACTATGCAAGTCCTGAAATCTCATCCCACCTTCTCTTTCGGGTTTGCACATTGTTTTCCAAGCAACCATAGGCCAACTACGCCTATTAGTATCATCTGACCACTAGTAACGCCTCATATTACTCATCAAATCCTGAAATAAACAATCAGGAAGCCGATAGCAAGACATAATATATTGTGGAAGAGCTTGGACTACATCTTTAAGAAATACCTCACGGCCTCCAAATGAAAGAAGATGTTTCGTCCACCCGTCAATTCTATTAGAAACCTTTTCTTTCAAATAACCAAATGTATTTACCTTATTCTTTCTAATGTGAAGAGACATACCAAGGTAGTGTCTCAAATTAGACACTTCGCCAATACCCAAGATACTTGAAATCTGATCACGACATTCTTGTATCGTACTTGGACTAAAATATAATGTCGATTTCTCAAGATTCACCTTTTGACCAGAAGCAGGTTCATAAGCACCAAGAGCATCGCGAATAATAGAAGCCTCATGTAAAGAGTTCTTAATGAAGATAAGGTTATTATCAGCAAAAAAATAAATGAGTTACCTTAGGCCCATTATGATTTACTCCCATTCCACGAATCTTCCTTTGATCCTGCAAACAGTTAAATAGAGTGGATAACCCCTGAGTACAGAAAAGAAATAAAAATAGAGATAAAGGATCGCCTTGTCGTAACCCTCGATTTGGCCTAAACTCCTTAGTGAGACTACCATTGATACGAACAGAGAAAGAGACGGTTTCCACACATCTCATAATAAGATTAACCCAATCAGCACAAAAACCTAAATTTAACATAACCTTTCTCAGAAAATACCATTCCACTCTATCTTACGCTTTCTCCATATCCAATTTAATAGCAGGACCCTTATTCGGACCATTTTTTGAAGAGTTCATATAATGAATAAGCTCATGTGCCACCAATATGTTATCCGAGATTTGGCATCCAGAAAGAAATGCAACTTGTGTTTCATGAATGCAACTCGCCATAAGCCCCTTAAGTCATCGAACCAGAACCTTGGAAATAATTTTATAAACTACAGTACAAAGACTGATTGGGCGAAGATGCTTCATCTGTTGAGGATCAGATATTTTTAGAATAAGAACAATCACCGTCTTATTAACCAAACTCATGTCTAACGTACCATGTAACAATTGTAAGCACAAATGGATCACATTTGCCCTAATAATATCCCAATACAATCGATAGAAACTCGCTGGAAGACCATCAATGCCAGGTGCCTTTCGCGGATGAATATCACGAAAATCTTTAACGATTTCATCAGTAGTAAAATCCGCACAAAGCACACAATTCATTTCATTAATAATGACCGTATCAATAGCATCAATAACAGAATCATCAGAGACAATACTCGCAGATGCAAATAAATCCTGAAAATATTTAACTGCAATATCCTTAATATTCTGCTTACCTTTCTTTCAGATGCCATTTTTATCCAATAAGCCCCGAACATAATTTTTCTTACGACAACCATTAGCACGAGCATGAAAATAGGAAGTATTTCGATCTCTATTAGCCAACCATTGAACTCGAGACCTTTGCATCCAATACACATCCTCTTTATTAAGCAAAAGATGCAATTCCTCTTTATCTCTTTTGAGATTCTACAATTCTGCCTCCAAAGTATGACGGCTGAAAGAATAATTAATTTTATTCCGAAGAACTTGAATTCTGCCACGAGAGGTAGCCAAACAAACCTTTTGCCAAGAACTAAGTTTTAACCCAACCTCATCAATTTTATCTAGAATATCATAATAAGGTAGATCCCAATCGGCCTTAACTAATATTCTACAAGCTTCCTCAGAAGCCCAACATTGTTCAAAACGAAAATAATCATCACCTCAATCCCTGGATGAAGGTTGAACCCAAGCAGTATCCATTAATAAATAACAATGATCAAAAATTTCAGCAAACTCAGTAAATACCTTACCATTTGGAAATACTTGTAGCCAACTTTGGGAAGCAACAAAACGATCAATACGTTCATTAATAGCATGATTTGCCCACGTAAACCAACCTCTAGCAGGTTTAACATCAAATAAACCATTATTGGCAAGCACCATACGAAACTCATCTATTTGAACACTTGATTTCCTTCGCCCACCTTGTTTTTCAGAATCATGAAGGATTGCATTAAGATCCCCATCCAATAACCATGGAAAATTAGAAGCATTTCGTAAAGAATAAATAGTGAACAAAACCTCAATCTTGAGATTATCATGGTGACTTGCATATAAACATGAGAAATGAAATTTGCTAGTGCCATTATCAATGATAGAATCAATATGAAACCGAAAATACGATAAAATCGAGACATTAATATTATTATTCCATAAAAGCATTAGCCCAGTGCAATCATTGCTTTTGTCTACAACGAAACAATTATCCATAATAAGCTTACAACGTATATAGTTACTATTGTTTTGTTTTATTCTAGTATCGCTTAAGAAAACAACATTTGCACTCTTAAGACCGATATATCGGCCAATCGCATGAACTGTCGTCGTGTTGTTTAAATCACGACAGTTCCAACACAAGACAATCATTGATCACCGCAGGGTTGAGCCTCAACCGCCACCACAGAGTTTTTAGAGCTGCTCATCCCTGTAACACTCCAACCCGAATCCGACCCGTATACG